CGGGAGCTCGCTGGCTCCGGCCGCAGGCGTGGCGCTGGGCCGGGCCGGGCCGGGCCTTGGGCTGGGTAAACGGTGTGAGGACGGGCCCGTGCACCCCCAGCCCTTTTGGATCCAGCGCATTGCGGAGCCCGGCCCAGCCGCTGCATTGCACACAGCACCCGTGCAGGGCAGATCTGCCACGCGTTCTGTGTGTATGTGGTGCCCACCCGGGTCCCCTGGAGCACGTGCCACGTGCAGCGCAGAGCCTGGCCTGGCCGGAGCCGGCGCCACATGCAGTCCAGTCCTGTACTGGTTCCCGCGTGGGCTCTGGGCCGTGCAATCCTGCATCCGCTGGGGGTCCAGTCCGGTACAGGCTGCATGCAGCATACAGGTCAACACAGGGCAGCATCCGGGGCCGAATGATGGGGCTCCACTGCCCGGATCCAGCCCGTGCGCTATGTCTTTCGCACCCCTGCTTTTAGGGAGCCCCTCCATCCATCACTGCTCCTCAGTTCTCTCCATCTTTCCCAGGAAGACCTCTTCCCCTTCCAGTCTCCCAACCGGGAAGGTCATAATTTTCTGAGGGCTTAGCTCAGCAGTTTTTGAATGCTTGGGAATAGTAATACTGTGGCTGAATACAAGTTACTTTCAAATTAGAATGGTTGTTCTGTTAGATTAATTTGGGCTTAAAAAATATTTTTAGATACTGAAAACTTAATTTGCTCCTATTTTTCCCAAAACTTAAATATTTCAAACAAGTTACTGCTTTCCACAAAACATGTTGGCTTTGTTAAAAGGTTTTGTTTGTTTGTTTGTTTGTTTAATGAAAAATCCATTTAGGTGAAAAAATTTCAATTAGCTCAGCTCCAAATTTAGAAAATGCCAGAATTTAGGTTGCCCATGGAACTGCAATTTGGTTGTTCAGGCTTAAAGAGCATGATTCGGTCTTTATTAATGGATCACACACTCTTTGTAGTGCCTACCACATTCAGTGCACAGGCTCAACAGTACTGTGGGAATGCATGGTTGATGTGTAAGTAGGGTGACCACACGTCCTGGTTTAGCTGGGACAGTCCCAGATTTCATAGGCTGGTCCCAGCTGGTTGGTGAAAATTGAAACAAAAGTCTTGGAATCGGCCACCTAGGCAGAGGCAGGTGGGCAGGGTCTTGAGGCACGGTCTGGTGGGGAGCCGGAGCAGCGTGGTCTGCCAGGCATGCGGGCACTGCTGCTGCTGTGTAGGAGCAAGGTGGGCCTCTGCCTGCAGCACTGCTGCTGACTTTGGGGTGGGGCAGGTTTCCCTAAAAGAAACATGATCACTATATGTGTAAATGATAAAAGTTTGTCTGTAAGACTCTTCCCTGGTTTGCAGCAGAAGCTAGAGGGCATACAGTGAAGAAGGAAAGACACTGCAGGAACAGAAAGAGTGATCTTGTGGTTAAGGCAGCTGACTGCTGGTCTGAAGATCTGGATTTCATCCCTGATTCTTTTAAACCACATTTTGCTAAAGTGGCCACAAAACAGTTGGGTCATTTTCTAGTTACCCATCTTAAGATACCACTGGCATCACTGACGGAAGTGTTAAGAGCTTACAACCAGAACTGAACTCAATGGCAGCTATGCACTGAACATAACATTTTATAATTACTCTGAGAACTCAGGTTTTAGGCATCTTAAGTTTCTCTCATGGTAGCTCAGATCCTCATTTATAAAATGGAGATAATACCCCCATAACCCTATAGGTATGTTTATGAAGATAATTACAGGTTTGTGAAGCACTGAGGTACTACAGTATCATCAGCAAAGAGCCCAGGAGAAAATAATTTAGCATTTAATGCAGTGTCTGAATGATAGACTATGAGAGCAAATCTTCAGGCATTCTTTTATTCTTCCATTAGAAGATGAATGCCTTACAGAGGACCCTTATAACTAGATGTTATTAGTTTGCACTCAACTTTCAAGGACAGGGAATCGTGCATCTTCTTAGTAAAACAAGTAATGCAGGCAGAAAACATTCGATACAATGTAAAACAGGGTTGTCAAACATATGGCCCACAGATCCTTTGTATCTCTGGACCAGTGTTTCTTAACCCGTGGTACACGTACCCCTGGTGGTACGCGAGACATGGGCAGGGGGTACATGGGTGCCGCATTTTATGTTTGGCCCATCCCCCCACCCGGCAGGTTGGAGGTGTCTTGGCCTGTTTGGGCCAGAAGTTCCCACTGTGTCCAGTGCGCCAGGGCTTTCACTCCCCAGCGTCAGTGTGCCGGGGACAGGGAGGGAGGCCTCACACAGGCTGCTTTGCCCCGGGCCGTGGTCCATGAGGAAAAGGTGGGACTCGGCTCGTGGCAGCAAAACCGGAAGTGCCATGGTGGGAATTCCAGTTTCGCTTTTGCTGCGTTGATTGGCAGGAGGTATGTAAGGTACCAAAGGTTGAGAACCACTGCTCTGGACTACTGGCCTGCCACAGATGTTAGGGTCATTTGACCTGGCTTGCCATGCCAATTGATGGTGAGTTTGGATCACCACTGTGGCTGCATCCAAACTTTTGGACTTCCCCTGATGCTGGACCCATTGTTGCATCTGAACTCGAGCTGCTGCTAGACCCCTGCCCCCAGATCTGTCCCCACCTCCAGATCTGCCACTGCTGTCTCCAGACCCCTTGCTGACACTGTAGTTGCTGCCACCATGGTGGTTGTCCCTGTGCTCCAGGTTGGATCAAGCCTGCAAGGAACCCTGCAGTCCAGATTTGGCCAGGGCCCCATATGAGTTTGCCGTGCTTGGTATATAACACAGTAACTATCGCCAGAAGTCTATGAATAATGCTAAACAAAAACTATAAATCAGTTAGTATTCTGGTGTCTCTCACACACACATACACTTTTAGCCATTCCATGTATTTAAATATAAAGTTGTATTATAACATTTGCATTTCTACACTACAGCCCAGTGACAACCAATTTTTCTGACAGACGTACTACAACTTAGTCTCACATCCTCCCCAGTGCCACTCCATTCTCCTTCCCCTGCCCAATCACTTGCTCTGCTTTCTGCTCCCTGCCTTATGCTCCCTGCCTGATCTGGTGCTCTGCTTTTTGCTTCCTGTCCTGGGCTCCCTACCCAATTTGCTGCTCTGCCTCCTGTTCCCTAACCTATCTGCCACTCTGCTGCCTGTTTCCTCCCCGGCATGCTGCATGCCACACACACAGGCTGCCTGTGCCACTTGTGGGACACATGCCACAGGTTGGCCAGCCCTGGTTTAGCACATCCTTATAAATGCATTCTTTCTTTGTTATCTTCTTTCAGAGATGATTTCTCACTTTGACTATAACATGAGGTATAAACCATCTGCACTCTTCAGCTTCAGAGCATAAGAACTGCGTCTTCTCCATTCTCTCCAAGCAGTTCAGAACCTGTTGGCAAACAGTCTGAAGTCTCTGCAAGTAGAGTTTTATTGCCTTAGCTGATCCTCAGCTTCTACAAAAACAGAGGTCTACAGCCAGTACCTTAAGTGGTGCAGGCACTATGATCAACACATATAACATCCATTCCCAGGAACTCTACATAGTTTTAAATCCATCTTTTACCCATAAACCCAGCTAAGTTAGGTAAAAATATATAAACATTTGCTTTGCTTCACTTCACTCAGCTTTCCTTGTTCTCTGTTTAACAGAATCATAATCCAAACAAGTTGTCTAATAGCTAAATATAAATTCCATGGGCAAATCCTTTAGAAGTGAAAATTATTCTTTCCTAATGTTTCCCCTGCATCCATTTAACACAGCACAGTGGGCTAAATATCACCCTGACAGAGCATGTTTCTAGTAAACTGGAACAGCATTCCCCTGTAGCCAGAATGATGTCAACATTAGGCCCAAGCCCTCTTAGCCCTCCTACCTCAATCAGCTCCATTGATTGGGCTTGTCTATGCTATTATGACATCCAGTCCAAGACTTAAGTTCCAATCACCTGAGTTTGCTGACCAGACCTGAAAGTTTGCCAGTGAGGCTGCTCTAGGCTTGTCCCCAGCAGCTTATCTCAGGCCAATTAGGCATTGCCCTTTGCCCTGGGAGAGAGCATTTTGGCCCAGGATCCTATAGTAATACAAGTCTATTGTCTTGCTTCAAGTCCCTCTAAGGCTCCTTGGGAGGCTGCCATGTGAGTCTGTGGGGTTATTCCAGGTCATTCTAGAGACAAGGTGGCCAGGCTTGATGGATTCCAACAGAAGTGACAGTTGTCACATGATTAGCCTCTTGAAAGTGCTCTACAGTCCTGCTGTGACACGTGCATGGCCGCACAGTGCTTTAAAAGTGGCTGATCACATGACAAACTAACCCTCATCTAGTGAGGGATCAGATGAAGGTGCTTCAAAGTGGAGCACCTAGGGAACCTGTGTTTCCTGGGGTCAGTCTGTCAGTGCAGTTGGGCTGGGCTGCATCAGCCCAGTCCCACCCCTAGGGCTGTCTGCAGGAAAGGATGGGGGGAAAAGGGAGGGGAAGGGAGCTGCGGGCTGGGGTTTGCCTGGCCTGAGTTGGAGGGGGATAGGTGGATTGGAGCTCCCCACTCCCACCTCCTGGTCCCCCTACCCCCTTCCCCCTCCAGTTCAGGACTGGAAAACCCCATCCTGCAGCTCCCTTCCCCTTCCTTTATTCCCCTCCCTTCCTGCAGACAGCACTGGAGCTGGAATTGGGGAGCTAGGGGAGAGAGGCTGCAGATAGATCTATCCACTGGATCAGCTCCAAGGTGGAGTTTGATCCCCCCCAGCCCTGACTCAACAGGTGAACATCTGTTGTTGGGGGAGGTGGGGGGTCACTAACTCATGACACTTTATGTGAAGCACCATGAGTTAGAGCAGGAACCTGCATGTCTGTCA